TACGGAAGTTTTCTTGTTTACGTCCAATTCAATCGCTGTTAACAAAGCAATTCATATGATTTTTTTATTATTACTTATTTTTTCAATATTAAATGTAAATAATATAAAAACTATTTTAACGGTTAATGTCTATTCTCACTTTATAATTAAGAATTTAGCTTGTTTTAAATGAAATAATACTTATAATAACGTCCCATATTGTAAAGCACAATACTAAATATCTTTAAAAACAACTAATAGAATACATATATATATATACATATATATATACATATATATATATATATATATATATATAAATATATATATATACATATATATATACATATAATTCACAATTACATGAATACATCGTTGGATAAGCACGTTGATTGCATCACTGAAGTCATTATTAACAGATTTAAGATTTAAATAATTATTATCTACTATAATATTTCTTAATATATATTTCTTTCACGACTATTCCACTTTCAAATATATGTAAACTATTTCTATTTAATAATATTACCTAAGCTCGTTAAAATGACATTGACATCGCGCTAAACATTTTTTTTTTTTATGCCCAACTGGTTCATCGCTAAAGCGTGTGCGTACACCCCTAAGGAGAACGATAAACGCCGACGGCGACGCCCGAGGCACGCACTCATCGACCCCGACGACCCCATAACGGCGGTGAATGACACCAGCGGGACCTCTTCCGCGGAACCTTCGTCCAGTCTCTCCGCGAGCACACACACGCCAACACATCGCACACACCGTCCCCGCCGGCGGGGACGAGGACCCAGCACACCCGGTTCGCGTCATCGACCGGGCAGACGTCTGCCCGTGCGCCGTTCGTATGTCTCGTCCGCCAACGTCGACGGCGGCGACCCCCCCCCGCGATCTACCGACCCCCGCCCTGACGGGGGCCGAAGTGCGGTGGCCTGAGTCGAGGTTCGAGCCACTAGGGCGCCCTCGGGCGCAAACACCGCAGTCCATCTGAAAGAGCTGACGCCTCACGTCGCTCCCCTCTCGCGGGCTTGGAGTGCCTTCAGCACTCGCCCCTGCACACGCGCTCGGTGAAGCTGTAAAGGCCATCTGCGGCCAACAGCAAAAACTGTACGAAAAAAAAAAAAAAAAAACCCAACTGGTTTAGAAATAGGCGACAATATTTTTTTTTGGTTTATGATCTTAAACAGCAATCGGTGTTCTAGTATCAGCAGATATTTTTATTCTTTCTATATACTATATTCTCCATCGAGAAATCAATTCTCAATTCATATTAATTGCCACTCAATTACACCAATCGCATGGACCTCAAACTAGGACACTATATGTTATCAGAAACCAGTAACAGATTATTTCCATCTGTGCGGTGAAATATGGATAAAAAATTATCTTTCTTTTGCTCTTGTACACTGTATAATTTTATTTTTGTAAGCTACTTGCTAGAATGTTCGGTTTTCTAGCTTATTTTTATATTCAACTAGTATATGCTTGTGACTTCGTACGTATATGCTTGTGGAAGCAGAAGAACTAATTAAATAAAACATTTATAAACGGCATTGTATTTGGCGTTCCATTGTTTCTGTCTACCCTAATGGGAGACAGCCGTGACAGATATGTATGTATGTATGTATTCTAAACGGCCTACCAAAATAATTCGTTCAACAAATTTTAAATTTTACCTTTAGGAGCAAACTTGAAACCACATCGAATTCGGTGCAGTAGTTTTTATGTAATGACGCAACAAACCTATGAATAGAGAAAAATGTCTAAAAAACATTATTTTTACTTTAATTTCATTAATATTATGATCGATATATCCCTTATGTGCAATACAGCAGCATACAGCGTCCAATGAAAATTTTATGATAAATGAAAGGACTCACACTTGGATCTTGCTAACTTCATCCATCATAATACTTACATTGTATATTTCAGAATTAAAGATAAACCAACCCGCAAAACATAAACCACGTAAATGATTGATATTCAATATAATAATATTACTTAAACCCGTTAAAGTGACATCACGCCAAACATTTTTTATGCCCAACTAGTTTTGAAGGGGGCGAGAATATTAAATGAGACAATAATTTAATATGATTTTAAACAAATAAAACAGTTCGCTGTTCGCCATCATCATCGTTGAACTTCTAATGAACATTGCGACTTGGAAAATAATGATTACGTCATTTATTTATTACTTTTTATGTGTGATGTCACATCGCATCTTCTAGATGTCACAGGACACCGCGAATGTACAATAGGATTCATCAACGGTATATTTATTTATTTATTTGGCTTCACAACAAAACAATTAACAGCATCAGTACAGACTTATCTTCTTTTTCATAAAAATGTTAGATCTCTTAAAAAACCTATTTTACCTATTGAAACTGTCTTGTCTCTTTCTTTTACACCAAATTTTAAATTAGAAAGAAAGTAACAAAACAGTGTTATAGTTAAAGTTAAGTTTATAGAGTTATATGTACCTCGAATATAAAAATTCTTATTGTTATACCATATAGTACTAGTAATACTTATTATTAAATTATATAAAACAAGTAAGATTGATTATTTCGTCGGTTGTGGTTTCAGAAGCCCTACATTTAAAGAATATGTTTATATAAAACACTTGTTCAAAATTCGACTTTATTTTCTGTTATGTATAGAACATTTTTATTAATTACAGCATTTACGTAGATTCACTGCAATTATAATAGTCGACGTGCAAATTGTCCGGTTTTTCTTGGATATAGAACCTCGACCTTTTGTCTCCTCGCGCCTTACCTGCCCCACAGGGGTAAACCCACAACATAAATACCAATGGAATTTCCGTGTTTCTCAATTCCGTACACGAGATTGGGCGAATTCTTAAGCCGTGTTCACAAAACAAAGCAGATACTTAATATTTTTTTCGTTACATGCTTTATGTGACTGTCCTTTGGATGCTTTTATCGGCATGGTATTGCTTTGGCTTTAACTGTCTCGATATAACAAGGAAATAAAACCTTTTCTAAAATAGACAAATCTTCTGGTGTTGTTAGTGTCTATGGGTTACAGTAATCACTTACCTGATGGTAACCTGATGGAGTATGTGACTCATGATGATGTTGAGCCACATGCCTGTTTGCCACCCTTTCACATAAAAAACAACTTACTATTATATTAATGTGTTTGGTCACTAAATAAAATTGGACATGAAATACTAGATGACTCTAGAATCGAGACTCGTGGTTTTTGTTTATTATTTTATAATTAGAGATGTTATGAGGCAAAACTTCGAAATTGACAAGTGATTTTTTATACATTTCTTTTTCCTTGTGTATCATTACAACGAATTATAAAAGTTCCTTCCCTATGAAAGGAATAAGAAAGAGTCTCATTCATTAGTTGGTTCATTCAAATAGCAAATAATTCCTGCAAAACCAGTTAGCCGTGCCTCCGTAGTCCGTAGTAATTAATTTATGAGCCACAACGATCGCTATAAATCGCTATAAACACCTATTTACAATCATCATCGCCATATCAGCATTTAATTGTTCACTGCTGAACATAAGCCTCCCCTTGGGGGTTTTGAAAGTAGTTGCCACGCTTGGCAGTCGGATTGACAAGCGCAATTAGGCTTTAGTGATTTTTAAGAGAGATGCTGTTGCCCATCCCTCGCCCTCTTTTAGTCGCCTCTTACGACACCCACAAGAACAGAAGAGGTGGCCTATTCCGGCTATAGACCGGGATTATTAGGCCACGGTCTTTTACAATACTTTATTAATATTATTCTAATTAACAGCAACTAGTTTCGTATTAAATATCTTGCCATAGACAACTTTATTGGTGCCAAATACTTTCCGTCATGAAGATTTTCATATGTGTAATTTTTATTACTAAAAATTTTGCCACATCCGCCCAGCAAACTTGCATTCGGTTGCCACGCTGGGCAGGTAAATTGGCAACCGCAGATAGGCTTTTAGAGATGTTTTAAGACGGCCGGTCTAATCTCATTCAAGCCGTCATATCTCTTATTAATTTGGCTCCTTAGTGTACAGTTCTTGTACAAAGTTCAGTATACAAACCCGCATGAAAAAAGGTTAACGATGTTTTCCGTGGGCTTTTCAAATGAGTTCACTGTTCGATTTCGAGTTACGATTATTCACGCCGCGTTCAGGGAATCGCTTGTGAAAAACGAACGCTTCGCTTGTGGAATCCCACACCACAGATTGTTTAATAGTTTCCCCACATAGAAACTCGACGTTTGTTTACAGGATAATTTGATTTTAGAACACCAACCGACAATGCATAGGTATTACAAAAAAAATGGTGCTCTGGTTAATATATTTTTTTTTTTTAGTTTTACAAAAGGCTTCAGTATTGGATCAAATCTTTCAAGCGATTAATTTAGAAACATTTTATACGTAGATCTTGTTAATCTACAATTTTCATGATCAGACCCTGTTCAATGTCGGTTGAATAAACTCGCGAGATAATTCAAAGCCCAAACTATTGCTTTGTTTTATTATAAAATTCTGGCTACTTTTCGACTTCATCGTCAGTCCACCTTAATATTACAGCTACAGAGCAAGTTTTTAAAATTTGGATTACATCTTTTGAACCAGAAAAGTAGAAAAAGAGATTTAAATAAAACTTGTTCGAGATATAAAATCTACTGAAATGAAAATAAATAATTGTAAAAATGTTAATAAAAATCGGATCGGTCTTTCAATCAGTATTGGCAACATATATATAATATATGAAATTAATTTCGCTCAGTTAGATATTTTTATACATAGATTTTATGAATCTATTTTATGAACGAGTTAATTAGTATAATTTTCAACGGTGGTTGCAAGATAGATACAATGGCGTTTTATATATTGTGAAATCTACATTATTTTTTATATATCATAGCTTTTTTATTTCCATCCTCATGAGTTGCTCATTGAAAACGTCATCATATCGTTTCGTTCCTTTAATATTTTTTATTTACAAACAATAACCATATTTCGCAATCATTGCAGGTCAGACATGCGTCCACGTTGCAGCTAAGCTTGGACACATCAAGACACTACAGACGCTGGTCTACTACGGCGCAGATATCAATGTTAGAGTGAGTATTGCCCTGTCATTAGTACTTCATCTATTTCATTATCATCATAGTAACCCATTAACGTCGTATAGCTCTGTACTAGTCTCGCTTTTTTTTTTTTATAGTTTCCAATATTTTTTTAATGTATAATAATGGAATGGTAACCCCGCCTGCACTAACGGTATACGCTGGAGGGAAAGAATCGAATACGTGGATTTTATTTAATAAAATATCAGAATTAAAATTGTCATTATAAATACCAGCAAAAAATACTATTTATATGCAAGAAGCGCTTTGCGTCTTCCTTCATCATGCGTATGACCAAGGAGCGGAACACCCTGATAGCCAAGGAGTGGAACTCTCTCTCTGCTTATGCTTTTCAAATCAAATATAATGTGCACCAATTTATTACAAATGTGAATAAACTGTTTGTGGGCCCGCAAGCTCCATCTTAGACCACATTGTCGCTTTCCATCAGGTGAGATCGTGATTCATAGCGGTAATATTCAATAATAAAACAAAACAAATAAATAAAATACTTTATTTCTTATACTCTCCAATATACCCATCCATCCAATGTTTTACCTTCAGTTATTTGATGAGATTAGTGAGAAAATTAATCAATTAAACGCACAATAGATGAATAGAAAATCTAATTTAAGGTTGCCCGGTACACAGTTGCCAGTAGTGGCTGCACAAGGTCGAAACTGAATGTAATGAGTTTTCATACGAAAATGTGTTTTACATCATATATTTTAGGGTTTCATTACGCTTAGCAGTAACAAGATTAAAATATCGTTGAAATTTTGTAAATTTAGTCGTCGACAAATATTAATAACGCGTACCTACCTGCCATATTATAACAAAGGTAAATTAAGTTATGTACAAGAATGTTCCTTTATGTACTTATTCTTAAACTTTTGTCCGTAACTTAGAAGTGTGATTTTTCTGCAATTTTTGATGATTTTTTTTTAATTAATTTGGATTTTTTTACATAAGCACTTCTAGATGACGTATCAAGATAAAACAACAGGTTTTAAATTAGAAATTTAGGAGAAAACGATGATAACCGAAGTCGATTTGGTGCAATAGTTTTTGCGCGAACCCGGAACAAACATATAGTCAATTAAAAATTCTAAAAATTATTGTTTTAGCTTATGTTGCTTTTATTAAGATCTTAAAAATCTTCTTTTGAACCGACTTCAAAAAGAAGGTTTGCAATTCAGTTGTATTTATTATGTTTGTTACCTCATATCTCCGTTAGTTGTAAACCGATTTGGAGAATTCTTTTATAACTGAAAGGATATACGATTGGTCCTGTAGAAATTATAACAAAATCAATTGACTAGTTTTTTTTTATACCACTAAGGTAACAAACAAGCATACGGCCCACCTGATGGTAAGCGGTTACCGTAGCCTGATCAAATACCAGAGGTATTACGCGCGCGTCGTCAACCCTGAAGAAACCTCTTTACCCCCCTTTTGAAGAACCCCATGCTGTAGGCTCTTGGGAAAACCTAGTTAAGTTTTTAAATAAAAATATAAACAGATTTTGTCACAATTAAAGTCTGCTTTTTGGTTTTACTGGTAGGATACGTAGTTAAACGCAGTTAGTCTTCTCCATAACGCATGAAGTTACATAAGTAATAACTAAATGGTATATAAACAAGAGACGTCACAAACTCGTCAATCTGAATTGTAAATATTAATTCGTCGCCAATTGCCAGATGAATGTCAGCATGACGCAAGCGAGCTCGTGAACTCGTGACCATATATATGTATGAGTACCGTCGATTCTCTAAATAATACCATGTTTTCTTAGAATATCTTGAATCAGTGACTAGCTATCGGTGAGAGTGCCTCGCTAATGTTAAGTCTACATACGCTTACAGCTTTTCTCCAACAGATGTGCCATCAACAAACAAAATGAGTATTTTAAATACAAATAACAAAATATTGGGATATAAGACGGTAAAAATTTATTCCAGGCAAAAAAAAATTATATATTAAAAAACAAATAATTTAATAATTTAATTATAGAGGTCTCAGTGTACTTTGTGAAAGCTTATTACTTATCACTTGGTGAAAGAATTTTTCAAATTGGTTAAATAGTTTTTGAGTTTATCCATTACAAACAAACAAATCTTTCCCCTTTCTAATATAAATATAGGTTAGAACATACAACATCTTGTTTAATATATCAAATTGTATAAAAACACAGAAGAGCCGTCAGCTTGATTGCGTGTAAAAAAAATTATAGGTATGTCGTGAAACGCAAATGTGACAATGGAAATTACAATATTTTCAATAATATGTATTAACCCAATCTAACCAATTTCCCCAAGGTTGTACAACTAGGTAAGACCCAGTAGTTAATTGTTTATATATGTACAATAATATTTAAGCAGCCTACCTTACTAAGATAATTACATAGTGAGGACTTTTGAATTTTTTTTATTAAAGTTTTTTCATAAAACTTTTTTATTTAATGACGCAAAGTATTTGTTAAACTATTTGTAGGTACTGTAAATAAAAAATCAATGTAAAATGTAAAAAAAAATTGGACTCTCTTTTCCGCGCTTAGCCTCTCATTTGGGGCATTGTGCGTATGATAAAAAATCGATATATTTACAAAGATATAACTGCAATTAACATCAGAGATTGATTTTATATTGTCATTATTTATTAATTGCAAACGACGATTTTGTATTCATAGTACAGTTATACAATTTTATGACCAGTGAACAGATTCAAAGAGAATATTTTATATTTAACTAGTTGTATCTCGCGGCTGCGCTCGTGGGCGCATCGTTATTATCATCTCAACCATTATCTGTCCACTGCTTAACATAGGCCTCCCCCATATACTGTCATAAGGAACGGTCCTAAGTCACCTGCATCCATAATGCAAATGCGTAGTCAAATCGTAATGTTAAATATCGTTACTCAAAAAATGAGCTAATAAATTTAGAAAAAAAAATCCAACTAATTGTTTCAGATATTAACGCGTTCAAAGAATCAAACAAGATCTTCCACTTTAGTATATTAATATGAATGACAATAATAATAAATCGCCTTAAGAAATGGAGAAGAAAAGGGGTCGCCTTAAGAGAATTTTTCGATTCTTAGCATGGGCGGTCTCTTAAGTAATAGCCACATTAAAGCGGCGGCCGACGCGATTACCACAGTCGTAAATGAAATGGAAATCCCACTTCTGTTGTAATCAGCTGATAAGATACGGAATGGGTTTTTTGTTCTTCGCATAACCTCCAATTTTATAATGACACCACTGTCACAGAATTCTTACCTAAAGGTAGTAAATCTTCATATTGTTCGCGTATACGATAAGCAACTAAAAAATGCCCATTTTAACCCTATAGACACTTTCTCCTTTCAGGTTCTTAAGATTGACTGTGAAAATCTCTTTAAGGGATAAGTCCGCCTGTGTACATTCTTGCTAGAACCTAATATCTATACTATAAATTAGTAATTAGTAAATGTACAAAAGAGAGAGACTTTGTGCAAAAGTCGATTGCTTGGGTACCTCTGTCCCATTCGTGTTTCAACCGTGAAGCAGTTGTGTTTGCATGGCTGTGTTTCGCTTTGGAGGGTGGGATATGGCGTGTATTTACTGGGTACAGAGGAATAACACCTGAGTCCTCAGGAATGACAACGCATGGGGGGTATCATGGGCGGAACAGTATACTCTATTGTGTCCATGGTACTGCTCATGTCTATAGGCGACGATTACCACTTTCCATCAGGTGGGCCGTCAGCTTGTTTGCCATTCTAAGTTGTATAAAAAAATATATATATATATATATATATATATATATATATATATATATATATATATATATATATATATATATATATATATATATATATATATATATATATATATAGTCGCCTGCTTAGACTTGGCTGCTTTAACTTGGCCTCATTCGTGTTTCTACGATCAAATTAGCTATGCTTAGAGTGCTGTGCTTGCTTTGTGGTCCCGGCGTAGAGTAGGCCACCCCTTCCTTTTCTTTAGGTGTAGTAAAAGGCAACTAAGAGAATTTAATAGTCGAGGAAATCCCAGCAGTTAAGACGGATCTTAAAACATCACCAAAATCTAACTGTAGTTGCCTACCCGCCTGCCAATCGTGGTAGCTACTGAAAAAAACCCCAAAGGATAGGCCCTATGGTTTAGCCATGGTTGATTAATTGTTGTTATGGTGATGATGATATATATGCGATCCGAATACTCAGTAGATATATACAGAGGTGACATTGGTGAGGAATGTGCGGGAATCACGCGACGCGGCAGCAATCACTCGTCTAATGACACTTTCGTTGTCACGACACTGTGGGGTTTTCCACATTTTTCAAGATCGAGTCTTTGGCTCGACGCCTAAATAATTTTACTGCTTTTGGCAATGTAGTATAAAATATTTTTAAATAATTTACGAGTTGTTCAAACAAGACGCAAATATGATAAGCTCTAAATCTGACTGTTTTATGGCCAAATATTTACAGCATATGTACCTACCTACTCTTATCCAGCTAGGATTTATAGTTTTAAAATGTTGTGTTCTCGAAACGGGGAAATCGTTTTGTGCTCTCGCTATCTCTAGTTTTCGAATCTTTAAATTTTTTTATGTTTATTATATAACTTATTTCAAGGATAGAATCCTGCAAAGAAAACTAAAAAAAAAAAACAATTGGTATCACTGCTATATATAAAGAACAGTTGCCATTTTATTATGGAATGAAAATGGAATAATAAACCCGCCTGCGCTATCGGTATTCGCTGGCAGGGTATCACCATTGAGGTGGTATCTGGTCAGTTGACCCACCCCGTGGTGAATTCCACCACGGATGTTTTCTAGAGGAGACCGCGTGAAGTTCGACTTCACAGGATATACTACTTGTAATGGGGTCATTAATTCCTATCACGAGAAATCCCCATCCCTCCTTGGTATCATTTCCTAGTTTTTCACAAACACTCTCTGTCTGTCATGGATTCGTGCTTTTTCAGGAAGGACTAGCGGGTTGGACGCCGCTGCACATCGCGGCGCGGCGCGGCGACGCGCGGCTGGCGCAGTACCTTCTGGATCAGTGCGCGGGCGTGGCGAGGGCCGCTCGCGACTTCGCGGGCCGCACCGCCCGCCGGCTCGCGCGCCGCACGTCCGCCGCGCGGGTGTTCGCCGCGCACCCCGCCGACGACTCCGACACCGACACCGATGACGATGATGATGTAAGTTTTATTAGATTAAAATAGAATATTAATGAGTGCTGCCGTGTGATTCCAGCATAGAATGGGCCACCCTTTCCTTTTCCGTGGGTGTCTTAAGAGGCGACTAAGAGGATTTTATGATCTTAAAACATCATCAAAGCCTAGCTGCGGTTGTCAACCTACCTGCCAAGTGTAGCAACATCCCTCATTACGAGCAATCCTTGAAGAAGAAATAAAATATAATGCACGATTTACATCAAACGCTGCGCTTCTAAGCGAATTTTACAAGGTCGTTCTCGTAAGACGTTTATTAAATGACGGCGCGTCAATATAAGTAGATGAGGTCAAATAAACAAAAAAAAATGCAAGAAATAATGTAATAAACATCCATTTATAAGATTTCCAATTTATCCCTTAACTCGCGAAGTTATTCGCATCTCAAATTTATGTATTTTTCATTATCACTATATCACTATATAATAATAAAAAAAAAAATTGAACGATTTATTTATCAAAGAAAGTTTAAGATAATTGATTTATTTAGAGATGGTGAGTGGCAAAGTAATCTGTATTCAGGTCTTGAATTATAGCGGTGTCCATCATTTTGCATGTGCCACCGCAAATGACGTTCATTGCCTATATACGACTGCATGTCCGTGCGTCTCGTATTGTCTTTATACCCGTGTTTGACGTGTTTTTATTGTTAGTTAATCGATTCATTGATTGAATGCAGTTAACGTTGTCGACAATGCCGAAAAATTCCAAAAACAAATATCCTTATTGGCTGTAAATCGGCGGCTTTTCCCGCGCAATAAAAATAAAATTTTCCTATGTATTAATTGTTGTACCAAATTTAGTTCGAATTAGTTTTTAAGCGTTATTAAGTAACAAATAACTTTATAAATCTTCTATCATAGTGTATTCTTCTTTTTTTTTTATTCATTGCTGTACTTCGAGTTTTATTTGCTCTGTATGTAATAGTAATTAGTGGAAACTTCATTGGTTAATTATTATTTGCTATGTAATATTTTATCTGTTAATTGTACTGTTTTTTCCTAATGAAAAATAAAAAAAAAATATATCTATAATTTTAGTAAGTACATCATAATATCAGCCATTAACTGCCCACTGCTGAATATAGGTCTCCCTCATAAGGGGGGTTTTGCCAGTAGTTACCTCGCTTGGCAGGCGGGTTTTTTTTAATGGGTGAAAATGGATTGGTAACCCCCCCGCCCGCGCTATTGGTATACACCGACGAGGCACCAGTGGAAGATGATAGGTGAGAATGAATGCAGGTCAGTTGGCCCACCATGATGAATTCGACAAGAATTAAACATGATGATTTCCAGGAGGAACCGCGTGGAGGTCAACCTGAGAGGGTATATTGCCAGTAATGGGGCTATTAGACCCCATTACTAACAATCCCATTCCCCCCATGGCAAGCGGGTTGGCAACCGCAGTTTGGCTTTTAGAGATGTTTGAACATGGACGCTGCTGCCCGAAAAAAATGATTAAACAAATGTCTTACCCTAATTTCTCGTTATTTCCAGATGTATGACAGCGACAACGAGAGCCTATTTGATAAGCTGCGCGATAGCCTCAACCCCATAAACGTCGCCTAATCACCCACACTACCAGCTAATTAGAAAGCCTACCGAGGAACGCCGCGAATGAAGAACACCGCGTCGGCACAGTCGACACCGTTCCGTTGCCTCATCCATACGGTTCCAGAGCCAAAATGGAACCCTTAATTATATGTGTGTATAGTAAATCAAGTACTAGTGAACTACGTTGGACGAATGGATTATTCTGTAATATACCCGTAGTGATGTAACTGTACCGAATGAATGTGCGAGTGTCCATGACAAGTGTGGCCGAGATGGGGAATTATTATAAATTCATTTTGTACCGTTTATTGAACCCAATAAGTGTTGTGATTTTTTTTTTACACAACCGAATTGAATCACATCGAATAAATTTCAAATGTTACTTTAAATTTGATGTTATTTTCCCAATTTTTGATCCCAATTCGACTACGTAGAATGTCGCTTTGAAATTGCACATGTGTCATTGTACATAAGTTGTCTATGAACACGCCGATAAGTTAAAGCCACAAGCAAATAGATAATTTCTCCCTTTTTTTCTTAAAAAAAAAAAAAAGTCGATTATGTATAAAATAGAAGTATGCAGCTGAACAATTCATTTATAAATATATTACTAATATATTTATTCGATAAACTGTAGTGTGTTGATAACAGAGGTCGTTTACGAGTATTTTGTATTTAATGATAAAGACTCGAATTTAACCGGCCAGTTCGGGCAGTACAGTAACTATGTCGTCAATATATATTAATATAATTAACTGAACATTCATAAACGTATGAATACGAAATAATTTTATGAAAACAATAATACTGCCAGACGTATAGTAGATAAAATGTTTACTACCTTCCTTCTTGGATGGTTATAACTTATTTATAATAATTTGCCTTAAAATGGTCAATGTAAAAATTCAACTTTAGATCCAATGTAATAAAACCAATCGTGGACCTTTTGGCGACGTTGATACTGCAGCGTCTGGTCATATGTTCCGTGATCAATAACGCCGAAGTTTATTAAAGTACGAAATAAGTTTAGTACCGAGGTTTAGGCAATCAAACGAGATATTTGGGGGAAAGGAAGGGTGGATTTATTATAATAAATAATAATAAATATGTATTTATGTGTACAATTTACAATTATAAAAGTGTTATATATATATATATATATATATATATATATATATATATATATATATATATATATATATATATATATATATATATATTTTAAAAATAATATTAAATAAATATATAAGGCTTACGCCTTTACCTACTTTTTAATATTTTAAATATTTATAATGGTATTAATATTTAATATTCCTGACAGTAATTCCAATGTAATGAAAGCATCCAAATTCAGTTTCTAGAAATTACTACGAGGCAATGCAAACCAATTGAGATATAAAGACCAAGGCAAAATGTCTTCCGAGAGTATAGTTACGGTACTTCATTCTATCTACATATAAATTCATGAAATGTTAAATACATTTTATTAAATCTTAAGATTAAAGTATGCTAATTAAAGTATTACAGTCAGAAATTCAACAATCGAGTGACTGCCTGAACTGGTCTGTGAGCAATGAACCCAATTCATTTAGAATTTAATAAATTGTCCAGGATAATTGACGATTATTTGCTTTAAATATTTACTATATAAGGCACCGTATCATATTTGGGGGGAAGAGGAATACAGTGCATTAAAAAAATACTACTAAAAACGTTTTTCAAAGTGTATTTTTAACGGTTTCAAATCTAAATCATTTGATACTAATGGCGCCTTATTTCGTAAATGCTTGAAAATTTATATACAGTTGTCCAAAAGTCAATTATAACTGTGTTTCTGGAATCGTTGAAATGATTATGTTGGCACCATTTGATCTACCGTGTACCTACACACTTACATCGACGACTTAACAATGCAGCCAACATGACAGTATTTTGACGTTGACAGAGGCAGTTATAGTAAACAAGTATGTGAGAGTACGCTAGCGGGGTCGATTCTGAAATGCTATTATCTATGTCAAAAATAGACAAAATATTAAATCTGACAAAACCCAATTACCAACTAAATTCAACTCTAATACTGACTCTATAAAGATTACATTGTAATATCAAACTGAAATTTTAAATTTAAAAATGGTACTATAGAATTAGCCCCATTATTAAAATTACAAATCTATAGAAATTTAAACAGAAAGTTATTTTCCCAATATTGTCATTATAATTTGTTGAAGTTGTTATCAAATTTGAAGGTACATGCTTAATATGGTCAGTTATTGAAGTTGTCATTCTATTATTAAAAACTGTATTTTTAATGATCTTTTTGATTAAACTATTATGAATTTTACTTCCATCAACTGATCACAGGTAATTTGTAAACCGTGATCGCTACGAGTGGTTTTGAAATTTTTGTTAAATATCTTTTTTAACAATGTAAGTGAAGTCTGATAAATCCACAATTATTGCCTATTAAGATGATTCCGTTACATGTTTTATCAAAATTTATCGTAGTAAGCATGGTTTTAAGAATTCAGATTGTATGAGAATCAAATGATCGTTTTTACGTGCCTTGTTCTGACTTTCGTGTGAAAATAGCAACTAAGTCACGTCATTATGACAAATTATAACTAAATCGTTTAAAAAAAGAATGGATTAAATCATAAAACTGGTATCGTTTACATTATCTGTTAAATTTGTAAAACAATAAATTTGACATTTTAAATGGATATAGATAAACTTTAATAGTCATACAGAAAAAGGAAGAAGTCAAGTATCTGCAAATTCGTTATTACTTTTTTACTGCCTCGTTATTTTTTTTTAATAATTATATTATTATAAATTGGTAATTAATTAATTGTTAATGTAACCATGCGTAATTGGGTTCGCTCTACATAGAAAATATTCAAATTTATGCCATAAGTCTACCCGTTTGTTAGACGTGTTTAAATGCAATAATTATATGGTCCAAAAACTTTGCATTTAATAGAACCATAAAGTAAAATTACCTTCTAGACCGATTTTGTCTGTGGAATATGCCCCTCACACAAATAAAGGATATTACATAGAATGAGTACTATTCTTAATCTATTTATTAATCCACGAGTTAGTACTTTGGGATCTAAATATGAAATATTTACAATAAAAAGACCGGTGTAGACAAAGAACTGTTGTAGTAATTATAAACAAAGGACTGGGGCGTAGTTTTTGACTGTTAAAATAGCACGCTTTGTGTTAGTGTCAAAATATGAGACGAAGTCGGCAAACAAGAATTATGCCCTCACGGACAAGACAGTCGTCTGAAATTAAAAAAAAAAATATCATCTCTTACGGAATACCAATAGTTTTCTGCATAACTAGCTCCAATTCATCTCGTCAGGTGCATTGTCACTTGCCAATCTTAGAAGGGAATATAAAACTTAACCCTTAAACACCTGAAGTTTCAAATTTGATACCGGCGTTTGCATTGTTTCATTGTTAAATAAATTTAAATATTTTGATTACCGTAATGCCTAAAGTATCAAAAACGATACCAAATGGTTTTTCAAAATAAATATATAATAATATCGTTTTGATTTTTTTTTTTACTATTTTTTTTTATTTAAAGGAAAAATAGTAAAAAAACAAAGGGTACACTTATATATTTTTTAATTTAAATTTGAAAAATCAGGCTTTTAAGTGTTAATAATTGATGCAGATTCAAAATTAATAAAATATATTGTATGTGTAATATAGTAGTTTATTTTTATAGTACAGCATGTATGTAATTGTTATAGTATGTAGTATAAGATATATATTGTTTTAAATCTATGTATTTGTTATGTTAGCTTTATTATATTAATTATAAATGAGAAACCTCTTTTTTTTTAATTATCCCAACATCTCCATAGACATCAAAGGAGGTATTTACCAGAGGGATGCTTTGTACAAAAGTCATACAAAGTATCCTATGTACCCGTGTAACAAATTTAATTTGAAATCTGTTTAGTATTTTTTGGATAGATGGATGTAAAGAGTATTAAACATACATCTATCCTTACAAATTCGCGTTTATTATATTAATATAATTATTTTTTTTAAATTGCAATATAGTTTATTTAAACTCCTACAAATTAGGGAAACGATGGAGATTAAAAATAAACAAAGAGTTGTGATGCAAATAATTTTTATTAACAGTAACATTCTATCACATTTGCCATAAACAATAGAATACTTAGACCATAATTATTAAACATTATAACAAGGTACTAATTCACCAAGCGGATTAAGGATGCTAATATAATGGGATCGTTTCTAAGGTGGCATTTCTTTAAAATTACCTCTTTTAAGTTATAATTACGCGATTTTTTTTATGGTATAAACATAAGGTGGCAAACAAGCATACAGCTCGTCTGATAGTAAACGGTTACTGTAGCCTATGGACACCTGCAACATTGTTTTAACCACCATCATAGGGGAGATGGGATTGATAGTAATGAAAATTATCAGGTCGACCTCCACGCGGTTCTCCCGAGATACTATTGTAATTTACTGGACATTCCCTTGGAAACAGTGCGTAAATCCATAGATTCGTGGCCAGACAGAGTAAAGGCCTGTATAAAAGGCAAAGGTGGGCATTTTGAATAGATTTTTTTTTGTACTGAGACTTTAATGAATATGTAGGTAAAAATTTTAGTAATATTACACTACTTCATAAAAAAAAATGTATTTTCATTTGTAACAGAGCTGGACTAGGTATATATATTGTATTATTTTACTGACTTTTCAAACGCCACCATAACGCGATTATAGGTTATTCGAGATATAATAAAACAGTCATGCTGACTTCTCTAATATTTTGTAAGAGCATTATATTTTGATGGCTGAAATAATTATGATGATTATATTCTATATAAACAGAGCTATCTAATCTGTATGTATCATTATAATTAATTTATATACGCTGTGCCGCTTATACGTGCTCAGGTGAAGACACATAACAAACTATCACATTGGTAATAAAGAGGCACTGGAATGATATTTTAATCACAAATATTTTAATTATAAATACTTAATTAGAATATACGCATTATTAAATTAATTGGCAGGTTATTTAATTATTAATAATATATAAAATATAATAAATTATTTAATAAGGTTATCAGGACCCACACAATTATTAATCTAAACAGAGCCCTTAAACAGAAGTTGTAAACATAGCGAGTACATTAATATTCGTTTATATATATATATATATATATATATATATATATATATATACACATACACATTTATTTTCGATATACATGTTGCAAAAATATTTAATTTTAAACTTTCACGTTGTTTACACACATAGTCATAGCTAGGGGGGCAGGCGGAAGTATTGAGGGGCTATGCCCTATCTTAAAAGTCCTAATGC